GATGCGCCCCTGCCCTCGCAGCCGCCCTCCGTGCGATCCATCTCCATCGGAACTGGGAGCGTGTGTGGCACCGGGGCAGCCCCGCGGGGAAGCGCTCCCCTGGCTCGCCGAGCTCCTCGGCGTCTCCTTAAAGGCTCTTTGGGAGGTGGGTGAAGGCAGCGAGTCCCGGGCATGGCACACGCTGGGTTTCAGGTCAGCGAGCCGCCGCCGCCCGGGGCCATCCCCAGACAGCCCGGGGAGCACCGCAAGCGCACCAACTCCCCCGGAAGTCAGCTGCTGGAGCAGGGGGATGGCAGGGAGAGGATGGGAAAGGGACCTTCCCAGGGTGACGGCCGAGGCTGCATGTCCCCGCAGCGATGGCTCATTGCTCCGCCAGCCAGCACAGAGCAGCTGTGTCAGACAGGCGGCTCGCACGGGGCGAGACTTCACAGCCCCCTCTCCATCCCTTCCATCGGCTCGCTGATTGCAGTCCGAGGGGCTGGAGCCTGATGGCTCTCAGCCTTCTCCAGGCTTGCACGAGGCGGGCTGAGAGCTCTTTTTGGTGGCGAGCATCCTTCCCCCTGCCCGCACGCCCGCCTCCCGCGTGTGCTGCCAGTCCTGTCCCTGTGCCAGGCAGTGCTGGCCGCTGCAGGGCCATCAGCGTGTCTCCATGTGTGTGATGTGTCAGACTGTGTGTGCCTGTGCTTGTTTACATGGCAAGGAGGCAGCGGAGGGAGGGGGAAGGGATGACTTTGAGGGAGGCCTCAGAAAAGAGGGAAAAAAATAATAAAAAAAAAAAGTAAAAAAAAACCAGAGGGAAATTCCTCTGTTCAGTGATACGAAGCAAAAAGCATTTATTTTTATGGCAATTAGAGATGGCTGAGCATCCCTGGAAGCTGCAAGATAAACATGCCCATCTTTGTCTGCTCCAGGCAGCTGCGAGCCTGGCTGATGGTGGGTGCTGAGCCCCGGCGGGGTGCTGCCCACGGGCTAGGAGGAGGGCTGGCTCCCACGTGGGGTTTTCTCTGCCTGTCACTGACATATGGTGATCAGGGTGAATTTTCTTTTCCCATCTGAAAATAGTTCTCATCCAGCCATTTTTCAGGGAAGGAGCTGTGCCTGGCGCTGCAAGGGCGCCCACTCCATCTGGCACTTTGTGTCTGCACCAGAGCCCTGTTTTTGCTGTACTACAGAGTAGACCCCAGTCCTGTCCCCTCCAAAATCAGCTCTCCCAGTACAAGGAGGTGTGCTGAGTGTCCCTGGGCCATGTGGAGGAGCTGAATCATGAGTGGGAAGGGAGTTGCCTTGGCTCTGCCCTTATTGCCCCCAGACTGGAGGGATCGCCCTGGGAAGGGGCTGGGGAGATGCGGAGAGGAGACACCTCCATGTTTCCTGCTGCAGCTGAAGGCTCTGGCTGGAAGCAGCTGCAGAGGAGGGAAGTTCACTTCCCAGGCTGCAGAGGCCCCGTGCAGGTTTGTGCTGGCATCACGGCATCCTTCAGAGGGGACTTGGCTGCTGCATCAATGACACCTGAGGCGAATTTTCCCTTTTCTGCACAAATTCAGAGGCGAAAGGCCTGACACTGCCACGAGCCAACCAGAGCTCGTTGGCCTGCCTTTGCACTGACACTGGTATGCTGTGGCAGGAAAGGGAGACTCACATTTTAAGGCTGTTTTCCAGCAAACTGAGGTGTAAGGGCTGTTCCTTGGCACAGCTGTGTTTACGATGGCCCCGCTGAGGCGCAGCTCCCCACGGCACAGGCCAGCCCCGTGCTCCCACTGCCACTCCTGAGCTAACTGGCAGTGATGTGGAGATGGGAACAAGCAGAAAATCAGGTCAGCTGGAAATGCCTCGCCATCTCTTCCTTTCATGTCTCCCCCCCATTTTCCTCTCTTGAGGAAGGCGAGTCTCCACCCGCTGAAGACCAGGGCGGATTATGTCGATAACCGCACGCAAATCCTCCACACGGGCACGGGGGGCAAAACCTCTTGCCATGGTCTCTTCTGCAGTCTGGAAGCAAATCGCAGAGGCAGGGTGAGTCTGAAGCCAGCAGCCATTTCAGTGCTGCAGTGAGTCATCCCAAAAGGCGCTCAGCTTGTGGCAGCTCCCTTCCTTTCTTCTTTCTGCCTTTTTTTTTTTTTATTTTTTTTAATAGCTGACGTAGCAATAAATTAAAAAAATAGCAGGAAATACATATGAATATAGCATGTCTCCAGAGCTCCTCTAATTAAAAGAAAATTCTTCAAGCACTTTTGAGCCCCTTGGATATCTGTTGTGAAAGGCCGGAGCCACGTGGGAGGGTGGGATAGAGCAGCGCACCTGCGAGCGCAGGGGGATCCGTGGAGCTGGCGGCTGATGGGCTGATTAATGCCGGGGACATGAGCACAAAGCACTTCACAAATAGTCTTTTCCAGAGGGAAAGAGCTAAATTAGGGCAGATGCAAAAGCCTGGGCTTGTGTTTCTCAGTGGCAAAGACTTAATGCTAAATG